ATTGATAATGCAAATGTCTTAAGCATCTATTCTATTGTCATTAGGTATGTTACTCTAAATGATATACTTTCTTGCTACTGAGCAAGTGTTTTAAGTCTAATAAATTATCCACGTCATTATAATATAATTAAAACAATATATTCATCAAATTTTTGTGATCTTGCATCTATAATCACGTTTTGAAGTACAAATCACGGCGCAGAGTGCTTTTAAACAAAAAAAAAAAAATTGAAGCATTGTCCAAGAAATATAAAAAAATATTTTGACACAAATCCATTAATTTCTATACATACCTCGTTTCCTTTTTATTTTTGAGATTAAAGTCTTGAGGCCAATACTCATAATTTTGAAAAGAGATTAAAACCATAAGCTTATCTATAATGCATTGTGAAAATTATAACAATACAAGTCGCTTACTCCATCTAGAGCACATAAATTATGAAAATAACATTTAGAGAATTTTAAATTAATTGTGAAACAATATGAAACTTATTTTCAAGAATTACATGGATTTTTGTCAAATAGAATGAAGCATATTTGGTCTTAAACATTACAATTTTATACGGTAATCATACGGTCATTTACGCATACTTAAATACAATTATCAATTGTTAAGAAAACATGCTATTTATTTCACCAAACCACCGATTTTTTTTTTATATGATAACACTTAAATTTTGAAAATATATGCTTTGCACCCTGAACTTTGGGAAAGCCACATTTACAATAGGGGCAATTTTGTATCGAAGTGTGATGCTCGCATTAAAAAATATTAACGATATTATCTTGAGAGCAAAGTGTATATATTTAAAATCAGTAGTGGTAAAGTGTGACTATTCCCGAAATTCAAAGAGGCAAAGCGCCGTTAACCCAAAATATATGCATGTTGGTGCGCGCGGCTTTAAGTTCCATCTACAGCCTGTGACTTGTTGATCCACCAGCTACTTATTAAATATTTCAAAATCCACTAAATCAGCCATGATATGAGCTGTAGGCGAGACAAAAAAAATAGAACATTGTGGAAGCTAAAGAAATGGAGAAAAAGAACACTCCATGATTTTATTACTACTGTTTTTCAGTTCCCATTTCCTTCTAATTTCATCATATTCTGAGCTGATCCTCAATACTTTTACTGAATGCCTATCCCAAGATTTTGAATCATCTACCTCAATACTGAACATTCTATTTACACCAAGAAATTCTTCATATCAATCTCTTTTGGATTATCCCATTCAAAACCTGAGATACCTTAACTCATCCAGCACAAAACCTCTAGCTATAGTTACCCCTTTAAATTATTCCCACGTCCAGGCCACAATTACTTGTTGCGAGAAGCATGGACTACAAGTTCGAATCAGAAGTGGAGGCCATGACTATGAAGGTCTGTCCTACACTTCAACAGTTTCTTTTGTCATTCTTGATCTTCAAATTCTTAGATCAATCAGCGTTGACTTGGAAGAAAAGAGCGCATGGGTTGAATCAGGAGCTACTGTCGGCGAATTGTATTATTGGATTGCACAGAAAAGTCCAAGTTTCGGATTCCCGGCTGGAATTTGCCCAACAGTTGGTGTTGGTGACACTTCAGTGGAGGTGGCTTTGGTACATGATAAGAAAATATGGGCTAGCAGCTGATAATATTCTTGATGCTGTCATTATCGACGTTAAAGGACGAATTCTTGATAGAAAATCCATGGGAGAAGACCTGTTCTGGGCTATCAGAGGAGGTGGAGGATCAAGTTTTGGTGTCATAGTCGCTTGGAAGATTAAGCTTTTGTATGTTCCGCAGATTGTTACTGTTTTTAGCACCGGAAGGACCCTAGCCCAAGGGGCCACTGACCTCGTTTACAAGTGGCAACATATAGGACATAAGCTTCCTCAAGATCTATTCATCAGGGTGATTATAGAAGCTAATGGAGAAGGGGAAAATCGAACAATTCGAACCACATTCAACTCATTATTTCTTGGTAGAATTGATAAACTAATTGATATAATGAAGGAAAGTTTTCCTGAACTTGGCTTGAGAAAAGAAGACTGCATTGAGTTGAGTTGGATTGAATCAGCACTGTATTTCTGGGGATACAAAGAGGGAAAAACCATAGAAGCCCTAAGAGATAGAGTGCCTGAACCAAAGAGCTTTTTCAAGGCTACATCTGATTTTGTCAAGGAACCATTGTCTCATGCTGCGCTAGAACAGTTATGGAAATGGTGCTTGGAAGAAGAGAAACCAATAGTGATTTTTGATCCTTTCGGAGGAAGAATGGATGAGATTCCAGAGTCAGAAATTCCATTTCCCCATAGAAAAGGTAATGTATTTAATATTCAGTATTTGGTGAAATGGGATAATGAAGACACTGAAGCATCAGAAAGGCACATAAATTGGATCAGAAGGCTGTACAAAAATATGACCCCATATGCATCAAAAGGTCCAAGAAGTGCTTATTTTAATTACAGAGATCTTGACTTTGGTGTTGAAAATATTTCTGGGGCTAGCTTTGTAGAAGCCAAAAAATGGGGTGACAAGTATTTCAGTGGCAATTTCAGGAGATTGGCAATAGTTAAGGGTGAAGTCGACCCACAAAATTTCTTCAGTGACGAACAAAGCATTCCACCTCTTATTTGTCCAAGCCACAGTATATTGAGTCATCAAAATGGAGCATACACTCTTGATTCGTGCTCTCCGGGTAAGTTGCAACCTTGGTCCCTTGTGGCTTCTTTGTGAGGCACAGCAAGATTCAAGTGTAGCTGGTCTTATAGTTTATTTGTCGGTAGAAATTTAAAAAGGGGACAACTCTCCCTGTTTTTTTCTTGGAACAACTCTCTTATTCAAGTGTGCAAATTAATTTTATGATATTTCAATTTTACAGATATAAATATTTTTCAATTTCCTCAAGTTAATGATTTTTTATTTATACATATACTCAAGTTATTGATCGTTGTGAAGGCAAAAGAATTAGTAAAGTAAAGTTGTCATCAAATCTCAACGTGCATAAATGAGCATGTTTTTAATTGTCTTTTTGTTTTTTTCAACTATTTTTTTATCTCATCTGCAATATATTAGAGAAGGTGCTGCAGTAGAATTCTAAAAATATTTTTCAAACAATCTTCTATATATCTTGGCCAACATATTTTCATTTTAACTTGGGAGTTTGACTATCTTTTATCCCGGAATAATGTTGCAAGATGAGGTATATTTCTGAGTGGACAAGGCTTTGGAATGTTTAACTTGGCTTTTGTAACTGTTCACTTTGAAACAACATGCCTTGTGTTTGCTCCATTGAATATGATTGCTTTATCTTTGTCCCTCAAGTATTTATATATTTGGTTGGGAACAATTATCATTATTTTGTTTGTCTATATATGAGTCTCGTATTAAGTTATTTTCTGAAACGAAAATTTATAAGGTAACAGTAACCTTGTTTTTTCATTTGTATCATTGTAATACGTACAAGGTAAAGAGTTGGCTCACAAATTTCTTGTGGGTAAAAATGAATTTATAAACTCTTTGGACTACGTTGTAGTATTTAGGCATGTCAATGGGTCGAGTTTTATCCAAATCCAACCTGAACCCAATATATTTGAATAAGATTTGGGTTTAATTGTTAAATTTAGATTCTATCCAGACCACGTCTCGTAAGAGAGTCATGAGTTTGGGTAGGATATGATTTTCTATGATCTAGACTTAAATCCAAATCCATACTAGTTCTCTGTTTGAGTTTGTAATATTGCATTCCATATCTTGAATTAATGTTAAATTTATTATTTGAAAATAAAAATTAGATGGTATTTATGTTATTTTTAAACTCTATATATTTTCAAAATATTTTTATTTTAATTTTTCATTGTATGTTTAGAAAAATATCCATGGATACTCAATTGATACCCAAACCCATGAAGGTATGGATCTAGATTCACCTTTTCAAACCCATAAAATTTTGGGTATGGGTCTGGCTAAATTTAATATATTTGAATCTACCAAAGTTATTCAACCTTGATCCTGCCTATTGCCACGCATAGTATTTAGTCTAAACATTAATTAGTGTTCTCTTAGCGAACAAAGATTACTCTTAATAATTGGAAACCATGATCCACCAATTGATGTACACATCCGACCCTTCACTTGTTTGCCTAATAGTCATTCCAACATAGGAGTAAATTTCCAGTTATGATGCAGACATTTTTCCATATTTTGTTGATTAGGATTAAGCACAACATCTTCCTCTAACATCCTCTCTTTGAAAATCCCAGAACATATAGAATTTAATGTCGTTTAATATATATATATATAGAGATATATATCCTCATTAAATTTGTTCCGTTTCTATCTTTTTCTTGTCAGTTACATGTAAAGAAGAATATTTATGTCAAAAGAGATTCACAAATCTGACGTTAATTCTCTGGTAACACATATAACGAAATGTTCCCTCTAGTTTCTACAATATTTGCTGTATTTTGCTTCCTATACATATATATTTTTTACCGCTGAAGCCCAACAATGGATTCATGGACCAATTGATAACTTTCAAGAATGGCTTTCTACGGAATCTCGCCCATTAATACAGGTAAAACATATAACGCTTAAATTTTGGTCAGAATCATATGAAACCATCCTTCAAGAAAGAGTAAGAAACCTAAGATTTAACTCCACTCTAACACCAAAACCTTACTGCGTAATCATCCCAGAAAATGCCCATCACGTTAGAGGAGCCATAATTTGTTGCAAAAAGTTTAAGTTTAGTCTTGAAATTCGAATCCGAAGCGGTGGTCATGATTATGAAGGAATCTCCTATACATCTCCAAGACCTTATGTCCTTCTAGACATGTCGAAAATACGAGAGAAATCGATGTAGATTTGAAAAATCAGACAGCTTGGGTGGGAACTGGTGCCATACTAGGTGAGTTGTACTATCACATTGCAAATAAAAGTGCAACACCTGCCTTTTCCAGCCGGTGTTTGCCCTAGTGTAGGCATTGGCGGGCATTTCAGTGGAGGGGGACAAGGTATGTTAACGAGGAAATATGGTCTAGCAGCTAATAACGTTATTGATGCTGTAATTGTTGATGCTCAAGGAAGAATTATTGATCGAAATATGATGGGGGAGGATCTTTTTTGGGCTATTAGAGGAGGAGCAGCAGCGAGTTTCGGAGTTGTAGTCAAATGGAAGATCAAATTAGTGCCAGTACCTCCAATAGTCACGACATTTGCAGTCACTAGGACACATGAAGATGGAGCTAACAGGGTTTTTTTTTTTTTTTTTTTTCTATGGCAACATTTGATTGATAAATTGCCTAAAGAGATTGTGTTAAGAATTTTGATAACACCAGCTAAGACAGCAACAGGAGAACCAAGCATGAAGGCAGCATTTCAGGGGTTATATCTGGGAAGAATTCCAGAATTGGTGAAAATATTGGACAGAAATTTTCCTGAGCTAAAAGTGAAGCCCTAAGACTGTCATGAAGTCAGCTGGCTATAATCTGCCTTATTTTTCGATTTCTACGAGGTACCGGAAACTGTGGAAGACTTGATAGATAGGAACCATTATCCAGGGGTTTATTTTAAAGCAAAATCAGATTATGTAACATTGCCAATTAAAGAAACTTCCCTTGATGCAATATGGGATGTGTTTAAAGAAGGAACACCAGGAAGTATTCTTTTGCAGCCTTATGGGGGAATATTCAATGAAATTCCAAGGAATCAGACTCCTTTCCCTCACAGAGCTGGGACTCTGTACAATGTACATTATTACGCAATGTGGCATGGAGAGAGAACTTATATCATCAAAGAGAGATTGGACTGGCTGCATAGGATCTATGATTTCATGGGTGATTTCGTCCAAAAACCAAGGACTGCATACCAAATTACAGGGATTTAGATTTGGCAAAGAATGATTAGTTAGATGAAAGTTACTCTAAAGCAGCCGTTTGGGGTCGTGCATATTTCAAAGACACTTTCAAGAAATTAGAACAAGTGAAACAGCGGGTGGATCCAGGAAACTTTTTCAGGCATGAGCAAAGCATACCACCTCTTAGGAAGGGGAAATCAGTATATCCACAAGATTAATAGTTGTCAATGGAATTCATTTACTCTTTCAAAACAACCACCCTGCACATCTTATGGCTAGTTTTCTACATGCTCTATCAATTTCAATTGATTATGATTAATATTGGTATTATGGAGACTTTGAGAGAGGGAGGAGGAAGAATAAAGAAAGAAGATCAGGAGTAGTTATTCTACATGGTAGTGTATTTTTAGTACCCTTTTCGTTTCTAGTAATAGATTAATAAATGCATATTTTCATGATGTAGACGTTCTGGGTTCAAATCCCATTTATTTTCCTTACTTCTTAAATTCAACCCTTTCCTTACTAAAATTTAAAAAAAAAAAAAGCATTCCTTGACGTTCAATGTTGAAGTGAACTATTAGATCTAATAATTTCCTTTATCTTAGAATCGATATTGTACCTCCAAAATATAATTATGTAATACCTAATGCAGTGAAAAAGATTGTGCAAATATATTGAGAGCTGCGATGATGGATTTGGTGTATGATTATTTTTTCCATTTTTGCTTAGAAGAAAAAAGAATTAAGGGCGATCAGATTAGCAAATTCTCTCTATGCGTATCATTTCCCTATCTCGGAGTGTCTTAGTACTGGCAGTAACAGAAGTCACTTAGGCAAACATATCATGATGGTCTGAACAAGATGTAACTAAATAAAAAATTGGATTAACCTTAACAGTATATATACTATTAATCTTGGATGAATTATATCTATGCAAAATTTGAATTTAAAATTTAACATTTATACATGTTTCATAGATCTAATAACGATAATGTACACACTGTCAGTGCATATAAGATTTATTATGAAAAATTGGATTTAGTTTATACATAACAACTACTATCACAAACTGTACAAAACATCGTTTCAAATCAACTGTTCCGAATTTTGTTTCGGTCCCGTCTATCTATCCCTATTTAACTATCATGTATATTTTGCTGTTGGATTTATCCCCCAATAGAATCCTAAAATTTATTGATTGTTGGACAATCCCTTTCTTACAAAAACCTGCTAATCTTGTAAAAAAGATTATTAGTGTAAAATCTTTGGCAAACAATTGAAAGAAACTAATTGAGCTGTCATGTGAAACACACATCAACTATTAAAACAACAACAAAGATTACTGCTTTAATTCTTTATCTTTAAGAAGTTATCTACTATTTAGTTTCTTACTAAAGTTGGCTAATGTAATATCGTGAATGGAAAACTTGAATTTAGAGGCTTGTAAGGGTTTTTTACCAGTAATTTGGACCCAAAATGTATAAAAGTCTTATAGCTCCTAAAACTTACTCAATATAATTCATTGCCCAAGAAAGAAAAAATTCATACTTCAACAAACATATCAATGTGTGGCGAATCTTAAGATTTTTTATACATTGTTTTGTATTTTTCAAATTTTAGGTGTTGTCCTAGATTGGTGGCACAAAAGTCGAGGTAAGTTTTGTTGTAATTTTATACTCTAACATTTTGCATTTTACTAGATAAAATGTCATAGAAACCTGAAAACCTCAAAGTATATTAGAACTTATTCAGAGTTGTGGTAGCTTACAAAAAGACTTCAATTAGTAGAGCCATTTGTCAAAGTACTTATTAATTGCTTAATTATATTGTTTGAGTACATATTTGTATAAGCACTTTTTCTATTTGACGATATGTAATATTAAAATTCTAAAGCATATTTATCTCTTCGCTTATATCAAAATTTATAATGAAATTATTAAAGTTCATTTTTTATTTTTTGAAACATAAAAGTGACTGTAAAAGTATCAAGTTTGAGGTGCATCAAAAGTACTTTAATGGACAAAAACTCTACTCCTAAATTCTAGGAATGATGTTCGCCAAATATGTTAAAAGTGCTTTTATCTTCTAAAATACTTTCTAGCAAAAGCATCGCAAACGCCCCAAATGAGGCCTTAGAAAGATACCTAATTTAGGATATGAAATTTATGATGTTATTAAAAAATTGGAAATTTCAAGTTGTAGGTATTTTTCTGCTCTATTTGAACCACTACAAGACAAAATTACTTGACTTTATGTTTAAAATTCGGTTTTAGGTTTTTTCAAGGAATCGAAAAATAATTTTCATCATTTTAAAGTTATATTTGTGAATTTTTTGACTCTCATAACTGATTTTTATTTTTTTTAAAATAATTTTTATGTAGACTAAAGGCATAGAAAGTCATAAAAATGTCTCTTAACTCTGTTAGAAACTCTCATTATTCTTTGAAAGGGAACATTGTGGCTAAATTTGCACATAAAAATATCAAAGTGTTAGGTAATTTTTGATGACATTTTAATAAGAAAAAGACATAACTACTTCAATTATGTTTAAAAGTTTATTTTAGGAGTTTTCAAGAACCAAAAATTATTTTCTTCATTTAAAATTGTTTCAGGTGAGTTTTTGGACCTTTAGCAATTATTTTTGTAATTCTAAATATCCTTTGGATACACTAGTCGAACAATAAACTGTAAAAAGCTATCTTAAGTGTATAAACAACTCTTACTTTTCTACTAAAAGAATCACTTTGGGTATTTTTAATGTATAAGGACTAAATAATTTGTAAGAACATCTAAATGAAATTCAATTTTAACTTTTTTTTTTTTAGATTAAGGAGATACTCTAAGCTTTACAGGACCTCATGTAATAGATTAATAGATAAAAAAATTTTTTTTTTTGCTAGAAAAATGGTTTCAAAGCATGTTGTGGATGCTGCTGTCCTTAAGATTTAATTCGTCCCACAATTAGTATGCGAAGGGGTGCTAAAAATTAACCGCAACAATATAATACCTATTTGACAACGTTTTGCGCCATTGATCAAACTACTTAATATTTGAAGGATTTGAGAATATTTTTCAGAGTGTTTTGTGTAGAGGAGAAAATTTAGGAGAAAGAATAGTGAATCTTATGAATTGTTGTATGTCCTTGTAACCATTTCATAGTTAGCTACTATATAAGGGATTATGTCTGAACAATGAAGAAAACAAATCCCTTATTCAATTCAACAAACAAATGAAGAGTTACGAGAGCCATACATATTCACAAACAAATAACTACACATAATTGACATCGAACAAAAGTGCCATTATTTTGAAGTTCTCCTACATTTTTCAGTTCAAGACTTGAAGGCTAAACCAAGCACAAAGCTAGCCAAAGTAGAAAACTAAGCAGCCTATCTATAGGGTTGAAAAGCAGTAGTAGTGGGTCGGAGAGTAATGTGTGTGTGTGTGGGTAAAATATAAAAAAACTCCATGTGATTTGATAAATATTTAATTTAACTTCCTCTGGTTTGGAACCTACACTACAACTCCATGTGGTTTTCGACTAAATTGAAAATTGGACAGAAAAGATCTAATTTAACGTGGTGTGTGAAATGCCAATATTGCACCTACTATACGTGATATACTTTCCATTCAATTTTCAATTTAGTCAAAATGGAATGGAGTTATAGTGTAATTTTTTAAACTAGAGGAGTAAAATTGAACATTCGATAAATCATGAGGAGTTCATTTATATAGGAGCAATATTGATATTTCACTTATAACCGTTAGATTCAATGCTTTTCATCTAATTTTTAATTTAATTGAAACTACAGAGAGCTATATTGTAGATTTTCAAATCAAAAGAAATTAAATTGAGCATTTAGCAAAACACAAGAAGTTTTTTGGTATTTTACATGCGCGCACACGTATGTATAGGAATTGGATTTCAAGAATTCATTCTCAAAGATGTTAACACACACTAGAGTTTGGATATATTGGTTTTAGTGAAATCCCACTTGTTGAAATCCAAAATCCAATTTAGATTGTTACAACAAGTTTTTTTATTTTTCTTTTCCAAAATATGACACTTCTAATCCTACTTAATTTTTTAGCCTCTGGATCTATTACTGGATTTTTTTTTCTTTTCTTTTGTTAGTTGTAAACCTGTGTGGCGCACGAATAACTCATTGCAAGCATGATGCTTTCCAAAGAGCATTTCTCGTCCGTTGCTCGTCCAAATGTACCTTTAGCTAACATCTTGGTATTGAATCTGTTTTTTCTCCAAAAAACAAAAAAGTAGCAGAAATATTCTTACGAACTTATTATAGAAGATCATTAAGTTCTAAATGTTCAACTACACACTATTTTTTAAAACAGTTATACTTGAATTTGTTATAATGTTATAGTATTGATTGAGTATTCTAATGCATAGACAGAAGTTAACGAGTATTTTTTTGAGATAGTTTACAATGATTATGCACCTAGAATTACATATTTATTTTTTTATTAATAAAAAAGATGCAGCGATTCTTTTTCTCATGAATGAATATCTAATTTTAAACAAAGTTAATGAACTTACCAATGTAATAATTAAAACCACACCATGCAAAGTACGGATACTAAAATCCACAATATGTTAAAAAAGATAAAGTTGTTAGAAAGATTGGACCATAAGATAAATCCAATTAGATTTTCTCTTCAACTAGATAAAGAGTTAGCAGAAAATATAGATACTTAATATATACGAAACACATCTAGATAAAAGTTGTTGGAGGAGAGTTGGATATACAAACAGTTAACTCCATAATACCTAATTGGCCCATCACTTCTCTAAAATTAATTATGACTAATAAGAGAGAAAATATTTGATTAATTTTTATGCATGTATGCCCGCGCGCCGCGCGCGCACACACACATATATATATATATATTTGTATGCATGTCTGCATATATCTTGATAGTTAGTCATATAATTCAAGAATTTTTAATAATCTGACAAAAGGGAGAGAGGGATGCATCTAATTCATGTCTGATATGTTTAAGGCAGAAAGT